ATAATTAGATTTTATTACATAACACTGGTTTGTATTAGACTGTCCAGGTCTGTAAAGGCGGTTTTAATCTTTATCCAACTCCATTGATCATGAATATTCATAAAATATTATTTGATATGGTTTGTACAGTCGGCCATTGAAATAAAAAAATGTTTATAACACATATAATAACTACTAATAAAACATTTGTATCAGGAAATGGTGGTTACGGATGTATATATGTGTCAGGGACTTGAGCGTTTACAGTCGTGACTGTAGAACTACAAGTGATCCCAGGACTCCCCCGGTGACTCTCTTGCATTGTGCACTCTTTGGCTCCGCTGCTTAGCAACAAACATTAGCGAGCTAGCCAGCTGCCTGTTAGCTGCTCTCATGCGCAGCGTAGTTAGCCAGGAACGTAGGCTCGCCGATAGATAGCAATGCATTTCCAATTCCGTAAATGGCAAAGATTTTCCTCGGCTCTCGACGTTGAGTAAACTTTATCTGTCGTTTTGAAGCGGAACAAGAAAAAAAACGTTGCCTCTGTCTGTGCTCCCATTAGACGGAATTCACTACAGCGAACGGAGCAGAGGGTTATTTTTCTCTGGGAAAAGTAGCTAACCTTAGCTCGGTAACCTTAGCACCGGAGTCACTAGCGTCTCCTCTTGCCACGGAGAAGAGCAGAGGGAGGCTGTAGATATGTGATTGTGGGTTAGCTTGCTAAATAGCTCATCTACTGTCGGCGGATGAGCTCATTTTACAGGTAAGAAACTGCCCACTTCTTTCTGTTGGCTAGTTGTTTTTTTTTTTATTCTCCTTCTTGACTAGCACCTTTTGCTTCAGCCAGACCACACCAACAGCTGCTCAGCACTTAAACACCCTCCTGTCAGCTATTCAACAGGTCGTATCTTGACCGAGGCAAAGGGGGTCTGATTTAGGGGAAGAAACAAGAATGAAAAGTTGACTTAAAACTTAACCCCTCATGCACTTTGTAAATACTACATATAGCAACAATAAACCTTGAGAGATTGGATTAGCTTAGTTACATGTCATGGAACTATCATGTTTTTATTCTGCCTCTGCCCTAAACGTTGCCTTAAACGGTGCCCCGCCTTGAGGCCTGGACAAAGTAACGGTGAGCCGGTGAAGATGACTCACTTTTCTGGCAGGGGAGGTGAATTATCTTCTACACACTTAAGGGAATTCAGATCGGTCGGACTGTGTGCATTATAATGCGTAGCGCGCCCTGGTACCATGTTTCTGATTCCCTCTAATATCTGTAGAATATGTATCTCCAGTATGAATGGGATCATCTGATTGTATGTGGGGAAAATATGATACCCACATGACCCTGGATGTAGATCATGATGTAGTCAAGGGAAATAACATGTTTAATTGGGTTAGTTGGTGCTTATGATGGAGAGCTGTCATTGTCAACTGGAAATTATTGTTGGGATGTGTGATTCATTATATGCATTATTAGATTGTTCCAGGCTTTGCATAGAAAATGTGAGGTATAAACCATGATCACAGTGATAAAGAGTGTATATCTGCCCCACAATGTTAATAACGTTAAGAGCATTATACTTCAATTTTCACCCACCATTTCCCAAAATGCATCATGTTGTTCTGTGGTCTGTGCTGTACGCCACAATGCAACAGAGTGAACGTAGCCAGCGTCATGACCTTTTGCTTTGACTGACTGCTTTGATTTAAACTAGAGGTCTAGAAATTATTACACTGAGATATGGGAAAGCTACAAATGTGTAACTTGACTTGTAAATCTAAGTGGAATGAAAGAAAGGAGTCACGATCCTTCAGTCAACATGTCAACTAATGATATGTCAGAGGTGAAATCCAAATTCAGAATAATTATGATGCTGTAAATAAGTGAAAAAAATTCCTGTCAAAAGAAGAGCAGGCTGCTTTATTTTAAGCCATTTGTTGCCTGGATGTTGTGATAACTGATGCATCACGCAGCTCAATTATAGTTGATGAATAATATCTTCTCCTGCCTTACATATTGTGACTCAAATTCAGACAGGCTGTTGGACACCACAGCCACGCAGTAAGTTGTCAGCATCCACTGAGAACAGCTTTCCCACAATATGTTGTTTAGCATTGCACTCGGCCGCTGCCCGCATATAGCTGTGGAAGGCTCAGTTGCCATGTGGAGTCTCCTGCTTTCAGTGCTAATGGAAGAATAAACATGCTGCGCCGCTGCTCCGCTCAAGTTGCCTGTAAAATTTACATCCGTTAGTTCAATGTGCATGCATAATAGTTTAAAAGATAACTGCAGCCATTGTGGAAGAGAAGTCATTTATTAGAGTGCAATGAAATTTGCGTCGTAAGCTGTAGCGCTGAAACTAATTTCATTTTAAATCTGACGAGCTTCAAAAGTTGCAATGGAACACTTTGGAGTTCTGACTGTTTGCTATAAAAAGCAATTGTCAGGCATTGCTTTAGGTTCTGATCATTTGAGATGTTATTTTTTCACGATTTTGATATATACAAAACAAATGAATTGAAAATCCAATTAAACACAGACAACAAAAAACAACTGTTGTAGCTCTAGTAATGTGAGTATCTCTCTAAGCTGAGTGCTACTAGGTAATTCAATAAAACTGGAGTTCTCTTAGCACCCTAATCGAACCAGTTTCTTCAGTATTTGTACCTGGGAAAAGTACTACATTGGGATGATTTAAAAGAAACGAGATGTCGCTTATAATCTGTTATTAATGTTAGTAGGTTTTTGTTGTTGTTGTTTTTAAAGTTAGACACTCTTGTTGAATATTGAAGTAGGTAAAAATCTGATTCTAAGCTAGACTGTAACAGCTTTCGTACAGTAACTAACTGCCATTTATTAAAAAACTTGACACTGAGCATGTTTGTGTAACTATTAAATAACTCTCACTGACATGAGGGCTTCATATTAAACCAAATCAGAAAGTGTTAAATGTTCGAGTTGCACTAATGCTACCTCTGTTGGATGTGATTTGTATATAGCAACATGTGTCACAGACAGTTTTATTTATCTTATGCTTTCAGTTGGTGTATGTGTTGGTGTCACATCACTTGAAACTACCCAGGCAGAGTGGAACTGAGGAAACCAGCCAGACGTCGCCACCATGTTGGAGGAGGACATGGAAGTTGCCATCAAAGTGGTGGTGGTCGGCAATGGAGCTGTTGGCAAGTCCAGTATGATTCAACGTTACTGCAAGGGCATTTTCACCAAGGACTACAAGAAGACTATTGGAGTGGACTTTCTGGAGAGGCAGATACTGTAAGCAATTTGTTTCATAGAAGTCAGTGACATCAGTTACAGCCTATATTTAAAGTCAATGCAGGGCTCTGTTTAGCCAGTTTAGCCATTTGGTGCAACTGTTTTTCCAAAGTTGACAAATGACACATAACTGCACTGTATCTGATAAGCGTTCCTTTTTTTTTTAAAAATTTACTTTTTGGCATGTTTGCCTTTATTGAATGGTTTGTGGTTAAGAGACAGACGAGAAATATTGTATGAAACAGACCAGTATGACTTCTAACTCAGCTGGAATCAACTGTTCTTTGGACAGTAACGCAAAATGTCTTTAATAGTCTTTAAAGGTACAGGTCTTGCCAAAAGTACATGATAACAACAAGACTAATGTGGCATGCTGGGTAGGATATTCTGATAGTAGAGGAATAGTTTTTATTCATTACCTTCTCATTGTTTTAGTGTAAATGACGAAGAGGTGCGACTAATGCTGTGGGACACTGCCGGCCAGGAGGAGTTTGATGCCATTACTAAGGCCTACTACCGGGGTAAGAGCCCACCGCTATAACAAATATAACACTGCTGCTTTGGATCACTGGCTTGATATTGGCCACAGATTTCATGGTTAACTGGCAGCATCTTTTGTTGACTCAGTGCCGTTACAGTCTCCAGGAGGATGAATAATGCATCATATTTTTTAATCAAAATCGATTAAGTGATTTTTGAAAGATTTAACAGCTTGAAAACATGAACCGCTCGTGTGTGTTCTTGCATTTCAGGAGCCCAGGCGTGTGTGCTCGTCTTCTCTACCACAGATAGGGAGTCGTTTCAAGCTATTGACAGCTGGAGAGAGAAAGTGGAAGCAGAAGTTGGAGATATTCCTACGGTTCTGGTGCAAAACAAAATTGACCTCCTGGAAGAGACTGTTATAAAAAAGTAAGCAATTGATTCTCTGGAGCAGTAAAGCAGTTGAGTGTTGGGGACAAATGGCAATGGCTGTAAATAGTAATATTAGTATTATAACTTACTAGAAATTTGTATTTTCTTTATTTGCATTGCAGTGAGGAGGCAGAAGCTTTGGCTAAAAGGCTGAAGCTGAGATTTTATCGGGCTTCAGTGAAAGAGGACCTTAACGTCAACGAGGGTGGGTAGCTGAAAATGTGAACAACTGTTGTAACATATCATCATGCTGGATGCTACTATCATAACATTTCTGCTGGTTCTCTGTTCTTAGTGTTTAAGTACTTAGCTGAAAAGTACCTTCAGCGACTCAAACAGCAAACAGCAGAGGAGACGGAGGTGGTTCATACAACAAGCAATAAAATAGGTAAGGAACCTTTCTTCTCATCACCTCCTACAAGGTGTGTCGGAAAAGTTCCAGGACTGGTGTCACAAAAGATATATTTCAAATCCAAACTACAAGTTTTCCCCTTTGAAGTAAACCCCCTGGAGTCTAACGCACTTTCCCAGGTATGCACTCCTGGAAGGATTCTTCCGGGATCCTCCGCACCTCTGTCATCACAGCCATCTTGATGTCGTCCATGTCTTCAAAACGGGTTCCCTTGATGAGCCCCTTGAGCTTGGGAAAGAGTAAAAAAATCACATGGTGCCAGGTGGGGTGAGTAGGGAGGTTGCTCCAGCACGGCAATGTTCTTCTCAGCCAGGAACTATCGGATGCTCAGGGCAATGTGAGCAGGCGTGTTGTCATGGTGAAGCAGCCACGACTTGTCCTGGTTCATCGTCTGAAGGGGAAAACTCGTAGTTTGCAGTTTGGCTTTGAAATATATCTTTTGTGACACTAGTCCTGGAACTTTTCTGACACACCTCGTATGCTACTTTTTAAGTGTTTTTTCTTAGTATGGCTACATTACTCAAACATGTTGTTTCTCCATAGGTGTTTTTAATACCACAAGTAGTAATGTCCACAACCAGAGCTCCAGCAACGGCAGAGAAGTCATCACTTTGCGACCTAACAAACAGAGAACCAAGAAGAATAAAAATCCTTTTGGAAGTTGCAGCCTACTCTAGAGTAAATATAATTCTAGTGACTGACTATTATTTCTAAGATTGATCATAGTTGTATTCCATGGAGGTAGCCACAGTTAGAGACCAAAGCCCACACAGACTGGGAAACACTACACTATACTACATTAATAACCTGATGTTTAATCTGTATCCTGAGTTATTTCCCCACATTGGTGGTTATATTTCCTTTGATTCAGCCTTGGTTCCTCATCAGTGATCTGCGCACAAAACCTGTCAACCTTTGTACACACTTGGTTTCTCCTTGTGGTTGCCTTAAGAAACAGCAACAGCTGCAGCAACAGTATATTGTGTCATGAAATAAACCATTGCAGTGCCGTTCAAAAGGGGCATGTTCAGAACCACGTGGAGATAGCATAGATAGTAGGACAGCTGATTGTTACAAAATATAGCGTCAAGAACGACTTCGCCTGAGATGAGAATAAGTTCGGTTCAATTTAGCAAAACAAAATGACAAACTTACACAACCAGTTGTATCTAAGTGCAATGGTAAACTCAGCTTTCTTGAGTCGGTTGCAAAAACTTGTCCACGTCTTGGCACGGCCATTTTTGCACCCTGCCATTGTTGCAATCCATGACGTCGATTGCATGAGTTGAGTTATTCCTAATGTACTCAGCGACTGTCATTTTAATGTTTGTCTTTTTGCGTTTCTTGTGAACCGCTCATCCAAATGCCTTCACACTCAACACTGCAGTTCCTTGGCTCCTCAGCAACACACCCGCCGAGTGTGAGGTAGATTGGATAAACGGTTGTGGAGAAACACAAAGAACAGACACTTACGAAGGCATCTTCATTTATTCGTGAGATGATGCCCCAAACAATGTAAGTTATGCCTCTAAGTGCAGGTGGATTTTCCCCCAATTACAGAGGTGTTTTGTAATACAACTTGAAACTTTCATCAAAATATTTAACATCAAAGGTTGCACTCTTACTCTGTATAAAAAAGAAAAAAAAATTGCTCCTGTACATGATTTTTAAAGTCACTCATTCGTGTGTTTGACATTTCAACTGTGCAATATGTTTGCATGTATTATAAAAGATACGCAGATTATTTTGTCCCATATTTTTCTAACCGTCAACAGAATATGGTTCAAACTATACTGTTTATCCTATCGAATCCAGAGTTAGATGCATAAGTATTTTTGTACGAAGCACAAAAGTGTTGAATGATATCTTGTGCCAAATTTTCCTCTTTCTGAGCTGTGCTTAAATGTAAACATTGCAGTGATTTGGATGTAACATGAAATTGATAGAATGTGCTCCTATGTATAACCAAATATCAATAACCACTGACACAAAAATGACTCCTTTGTATGTCTGCTTACACTCCGTTTATTTACAGATTTAGTAACCAGCTTGTTTCTGATGTGAAACACAAGTTTAATTAATCATACTCTTCTGTTTGAATCATAGTATTCAAGTTTTAATCAGTTATAGTTCTTGGGTTTTGATTGCAATTGTTTACATTTTGCATTCTGTTTACGTCGGTACACATTTGAGCTCACTAGTTCGCCTCAGAGTTAATCTTTACTACCTACAGTACACATTCAGATTCTATAATATTTCTAACATTTCATACACTAAATATGGTGCAAGATTATTTTAGGCTTGGCTTGTGTAGTTTCTTAATAATTTCTACATTGTAAATATCATCGTGCTCCTTTTTTGATTGGAAAAAAAAGGAGAAGGAGTGGGGGGCACAGAGTTGGAAAGCCTGTGGTTTGGAGTCTTGGGCAGAATGTAAACCAATACTCTCTGAAGGTGTTACAAGCAGCTGGCTGTCAGAACTGGATATTTTAACTCTTGAAATGCTTGTGTGTGCCTGAATATGCAAGAAAATGTAAGTTTCTTCTCACTACATCAGGGTACTCCCTAAAAGATCCCCTCAAACGAATGCTCAGTCTTCAATACAGCTAGCTGTGAACTCTGTCATTTGCCTTGTCTGCCTCAAGCCTTTTTTTTTTTTCTTTTTCAAAACTCATTATCTGGAGAACACTGGTTTACCAAGCACAAAGAAATATGTGGTGATGTGTAGAAGTCTTATATTAAAATCTGCTGTCAGAAATGATTAATATTTCCTAGTTAAAATTTATACGGAATAAGAATACACAGAACATTCGCTGCATGTTTTTTTGTCTTTCTAAAAAATATTTGTAACTGATCCTTGATATGAGTTCAGATGGGACTGAATTAATTCATTTCATTCACTTAAGTCTGTTGTAAAAATTCCAAAAGGTGCTCAAAATGTGTTCCACAGATAAACCATTGGTACTAAGATTGTGTCACATCTCAAGCTTCCTTATTTGGTTGTATGTAAACTGTGCTGTTTTGAAAAAAAGAAAAGAAAAGAAAGTGGCATAACTTTAATGCATGCAAGCCTTTTTTTTTTTTTCTCTCCACATCAGTGAATGTCCAACCATGGTTGCAATGCCTCGTCTATGTTTACATTCTCCCCCTTTGACTACCAGTAAGAATTTTAGTCCCTGCTCTGGCTGTTTGTTTATAATTGCCTGCACAGTAAAATCTGTAAATAATTATTTCTCAACTTTCTCTTATTTGTAACATTGTGTTTACCTTGTCTTTTTGCGGTTTGACGGAATGGATTTAGCGCACTTTATCATTAAGATGGCATATAATCTTAAAGAATCATAAGTTAAAACTAACCATACTTAAGTGCTGTCACTCAGGTGTAAAAGAAAAAAAAATCGTGTCTTACTTTTCTTCTACTTTTTTTTCTTTTTTACATGACTTCGCAAACCAGTTTCACACATTTAGACTGACGAACCAACGATGCTTTCAGTATGTAACAGAACTCGTTTTGCTTTTTACGGTTGCAAATGTATCACAACCCGAAGTGTGCTGCACAACTGCTCACCCGATGTTGTGTTTGGGAGGTAATGTTTGATGGCGATCTGACATTAATAAATAAAACTTTACTTTTTTCTTTGGCATCCATTGTGTGATTTCATGTAATACATTCCTGCCGCTACAATCTTTCAACCAAAAAAATTTACATCGAAACCGTGTTACTTCGATGCGGTTGGTCAGAGATAACAAGACCAACAGAGACCAGAGATGACATCAGAAGTGTAAATAATGTTGCTAAAAGATCGTGTTGTCTGCGTCAGTTGCCTTTTTTAAAGTTAATAAGTAGCTAAGATGGGTAGCACAGTACAGTTTTGCACTTGGAAGCAGTAGTTTGACCAAAAAAGTCGTCCCTCGTACTAACTTTTTCAAGACCTTTCAACCACACGTTAAATTGTCCCTCATTAGAGTTTGCTCAAACTCAGTCCACTTAGGAAGAACACTGACAGAGTAGATTTTATCTATTTATTTATACTTTAGTGTCAAACTTATTGAGGGTAGCACTTGCTTTTTTAACATTGTTCTGTCTTTACATAAAAATGTATTTAATACCAACATACAGTCTATAGACCAGCCTGAGTAAAGGCACTTGCTTTTCCTACTGTATTTGTGTGAAAGTAAAAGTAAGAATAATAATTTAGGCTTTTGGAGTTTATGTATAGAAAGTCCTCTGAAAGCCAATCAGGGTAATCACATAAATTGGCATGAGCATGTGTCTCCCAGGGCTGCAAGGTGGCAAGAAGGTTGCTGGTTCGCGTCCCGGTGAGGACACCTGGGATCTTTCTGCGTGGAGTTTGCATGTTCTTCCCGTGCAGCGTGGGTTCTCTCCGGGTTCTCCGGCTTCCTCCCACAGTCCAAAAAACCTGTTCCGGTTAATTGGTGATTCTAAATTGTCCGTAGGTGTGAATGTGAGTGTTCTTGGTTGTCTGTCTCTAAGTGTAGCCCTGTGATAGACTGGTGACCTGTCCAGGCTGTCCTCTGCCTTCACCCTAAGTTGGCTGGGATAGACTCCAGCCCTCCCGTGACCCCAGTGAGGATTAAGCGGTGTATAGATAATGGATGGATGGATGGATGGATGGATGTGTCTCCCAGGGATGTTAGACTAGAAGATCAATTGAAAGATATTGACATAACTACTTTTTAAAGAATATTTTTTTTTAAATGGTGCTTTAAAGACAAAACTTTTCGATGGCTCCATCAGCAACCACACCATTTTTAAGTAACTTAACAGGATGCTGGATAGCCTGGAGTTAATGAACCAATAGCAGCCTGTTTTCAGGGTAAAAAACAAAAAAAAAGAAAACACTCAATTTAAGAAAATATTCTGATGAAATATAGGTCACAAGAAAAACAAAAGCCTTTGTCCATGTTTCTATGATCTTGACTACTGATAGTATAAGCACAGATGTAATGATCTAATATGGCAATAAGCTACCCTTGACATATTCAAAGATGTCTCTGTTTAACACTTTTTAGATGATGTGCTTTTTATTCACTTTTTTGACAGAAAAAAAAAAAACTACTTTGTGCAAATATGAATCCACAGCTTGATGTGACTTGTGTTGTCTTCACACAAAGAGGTAGTGCACACCCAAAATCCTTACTAAGTGCCTCATTTAAAATGTGAGGCAATGAAACAGAAAAAGACACTCCATCATTGTTGTCTGTCAAAGTCGATAAACCAGCGTGAGCAATCTGGTGATCTAGAGCAGGCATATTCTTGTATTTGGATACTTGTTTCAGATGTCAAAATAAATCGCTTCCACCTGGCAGAGAAACGTCGATAGGCTGTTTTTCACGCTGTTGTATCACCTAAAACTTGGCAGACTATCTACTGACACATTTATAGGCACTTAATTATAAGCTGATAATCAGAACTGGATTTTCTGAGAAACTGTGAGCGAACCTCCAATGAAGCAATGTGTCTTTTTCTGTTTTATTTAAGTGTATGTGAACACACAGTGTACTGAGTATATACATTAAACAATCAATATTAAGTAGGTAAATGGAAAAGACAATATCTGAAGGTAAAACGTGGTCTTTTTTGCTTTAAGGTTCAACATCATTGTGTTTTTCCCAAAGGACCTTTTCTAGCTGCTACTACTGTGGAGTCCTTCCGAAAGTTAGTACAGAATTACAACAGCTTTCAGTGAGGTTAGTGGTATTCAAGACACATTTCATGTATTAGGTGACGAGTCTTATTGACCGCCGTTGGCTTCTGTGTGCTCAAGTTTTTGATGATCCATAATCTTGATGTTCTTATCGGCATTTTCAACGTTCCTCATCAAAGTCTCCAGCCTCCGCTTGATCTTCTTCTGGTCCTCCAGAGCACAGCTGATCACGATGGCCTGAAACTTCTGGTCTATGGGAACTGGCTGCGCCTCGGTCACACAGGCAGCGTGCAGAGCCCGCAGCTGCTGCCGACCACTGTCCATGTCTTCCAGTAGCTTCTTCACGATTTCGTCTATTATAGACGTGGCCCTGCGCAGCGCGTCCTCCTGCTGGGAGTTTCTGATCGTACCAACAGAGATCTCCACAGTAAGTGTCCGGCCCATCAGACGGTTTGCAGTCAAACTTAACTCTTCTCTCTCCCCTGGAAGACAAGGAATCAATGCAAGATCTTTAGAAACTGATTTACAACTCAGGAGTTGGGTACAATATTAACAACATCTAACTTATTTCTTGGAGAAGTACAAGAACTCAGTGTTGCCTAATGGCACAAAGAGCCTAGATTCAGATCCTTGCCCTTGTTTGTGTTGTGTAGAGTTTCCAAGTTCTTGTTAGTGTTCAGCTCTTCTACAATCCAGGGACAGACTATGGTGACTGTAACTGTACTGATGTATGGTGAATCCAGGCCAGATTTGATGTAGTTTAACAATAGAACGATCATAACTTGTGAAACTTATGTTCTTTTTAAAACAAAAATGGAGTCATAATCTTGAGGTGTTGATTCTGTTCAACATATATGTGTTATTTTATACTGCATTATGTTCTATTTTGGGGCTGCAAGGTGGCTCTGTGGTTCGCACCGTCGCCTCACAGCTAGAAGATCCCTGGTTCGTGTCCTGGTTAGGATGCCAGGGATCTTTCTGCGTGGAGTTTGCATGTTCTCTCCGGCTTCCTCCCACAGTCCAAAAACATGTTGAGGTTAATTGGTGATTCTAAATTGTCCATAGGTGTGATAGCTGCGATAGACTGGCGACCTGTCCAGGGTGTCCCCTGCCTTCACCCTGAGTCAGCTGGGATTGTATTCTTGTCTGTGCCAAGTTTAACCTCCTGTATTGTATGTGCAACACTATTAAAAAGACTACTGTACTGATGTGTGCAAGACGTAACATCAGTAGTTGTGTGGAAACAAAAATTAGAATGCATATTAAAAGACATTACAATTCAGTCCCTTAATATACAGGTTAAATGGGGAAAAAACAAAATTCAAATGTGAGCCCAATTCATGTAAACTTGTACCTGGGTGGAACACAACAACTATCATGTTGCCCTGTATTTTTTTCCTCCCTCCAAATCCCCTGAGTTCTTTAAGCATCACCACCCAAACACTGAGCAGATCTGAAAGCATAACCTCACCGGATCACAATGTTACAGTGACATCAGATCAGCTTAAAAAAAAAAGGGAAGGAAGAAAGAAAGAAAACATATAAATTCAAAACACAGCAATGAGGCTACTCTGCATGCTGCTTCTTTATAGTTTCATCCAGCAGTATGCGACTGTTGCTCGTGTTGTAGGAGTGAAAACAGCCTCACCGGCGCAGATGTTGCGCATTTCTTGACTGTTCTGAACGGACTGAATCATTTCCAGGATGCACTCCCTTTCCTGCTCCATGGCCGATGCTGCCTCGCGTAAAGCCTCCACCCTGACAGAGAGAGACACAGTTTAATGCCATCCATTTACAACCACATCCTCTTCTCCTTGTAAAACTAATGGGCTGCTATTATCATGAGGTAATGAGTGAAGTAACCGTTATAAATCCATGGACGCGATATAAAAGGGGATATTTCCACCAGAACGACTCCCTACTGATCATTTCACATGTTTTCCACAACCACTTTCTTCCTTCTGCTTATGAAATGTAACATCAGATATAAAACATGGGAGCACACGGCCATAGTAACGCACAGAAGCGACGGTGCGCTAAACAGTGAACATAACGCACATGGGAAGGCCTGTTACCGGACTATACCTCATTTCCAGCTGATCCAAACTTTCCAGCAGTTGTCCCGAGCGATCTGCCATAGACAGAGTCCTGCTGAACTTGCTGCAGACAGTTTCGTTCATCTTCGCCTGTATTTTTGCCTGAGCCATGATGATTACGCGCTCGTTGTGGTGATCCGTGCCGGAGACTTAAATCCTACGTGCGGCCGACGCTCCGAGCTGTCCAGCTGACTGCAGATCGTCCGGCTGCAGCAGCGCCCCTGGGAGAACATTTCCTAACATGGGCTGCTACTTCCTTCACGCGCTCCTCGTAGAAGTTTCCCGAGGAGACCAGAAGTTGCGGTGCCCAACATGGGGTCCGTGGACCCCCCAGAGGGTCCCCGAGGACGGGCATGGGGTCCACAGAAAGACTTTGATAAAAGCTGCACACTTATGTTTATTTCTAATATCTACATCTGAGGTTATTTACGACTGAGCTTAAATAAACATGGATCTACACAGTCAGGTTTGGGAAAAAAATCTAAGTGGACTTTGGATTTTAAGTTTTAAAACAAACAAAAAGCTCATAAATGTCCTTCAAAAATCTTCTGGGTGTCAGAGATTTTTGTATCATTAAACTTTATAGCTGAAATTCTTTGCACTTTGATCCATTCTTAATACAATCTAATGCTAAAAAATAAATGATCAGTGACAAGAATATTATAAAGACTGTAAATGATTCTGTATAAATTGCTCAAGGTTCTGTAATCTAATGACTACATAAAATCAGTCTCCCTCGTCAGTAGCGCCTGACCTGATGGTAAACTTACGATTTCTGTTGTGCACAACATAATGCAAAGATGGTTCACAAAATTTTACAATGCAGAGCAGCTCTGACTCCATTCATTACTTTCAGCGCAGCGTGCAGCACATGTAGCAGAGTATAAATCTGCTAAACAGGTGGTGGTGTGGAGTCAAGCAGCGTCTTGATTTGTGAAATACATTCCTGGTGAGGGTAATAAACAATGACCTCATCATTTACTCTTTTCAATATTAAATACAATACATATGTACGTATTTGTATCAAGAATATCTGCCTATAGCAATATGTTTTACTCTCTAAATATCTGTATTACCATGGGCGCCAAAAATCCAGCGTTAGTCAGACTCTACACACCAGTGATTGCGAGCACAGGAAAGCTTCACCTCTGACACGTAGTTGATAGGTAGTTAGATGGTAACTGCTAAATTCTACAACCAGGAAGATCCAGTGCCAGGAACTTGTTTCATTGGTCCATAAACATTAATGTTTAGTCTCCTGGGCCACTCTCTCAAAACATGTTTTTTTTTTTTTTTTTTTTTTTTTTAATATTGGATAGTTTTCTTCATTATCTGACAATAAACCTTTCAGTAATCCCCAGATATGCAGAGGATGTGGCCCCAATAATAACAATAATAATAAAAGCTAATTAAATCTATTTTTGAAATGCATGTACAATCTAATTAGGTACCAGCACAAACTACATCTGAATACAGTGTGAATCCATTCGTAAAAGCATTTGTCAGACATCCCACTCATGATTTTTAAATTGCAGAATTGCACCTGCAGTTGTACAGGACTTCAACTGAGCTGGTGTTTACCATCAAGCCAGTGCCGAAAATTATTTGATGCAAGAAACAGACCCCAGAACTTGTTTAATCTTCATTCAGAATGATGGAAGAGTTTAAAAGAAGAACCTGATTAATATTGTTGTTGTCTTTAACAGTGTTGACTCCTTGAGCAACACAATATAGTCAGGTTTTAATTCAGAGGAATGATCAAATAATTTCTCACTTAAAGATCAGGGCCTACATGGCAGCACCTAAGGAAAGACAGGTGTGTACAATAAACTGGATTGAAAACATGAAGCTGCAATTGGAGACAAAGTTAGCAGTGTGGTCACAAGTTCAGCTCTGGCATCTTGCAGTGTCATCGATGCCATCTATAGCACATGTGTCGACACACTTACGTGTCGAGTCCCGACAACAGAAGACTGTGCGTGAATGGGCAGTCTCAAACAAAACTTCAAATAAAATGTAACCTGCGTACCCCCGTATGACCTGGTCGGTGCCCTGAACTGCACGTACAGAAGAATGTAGCAAAAGTAAAATAACTAACATTTATTTTACACGTTCTCAACACAAATCCCATGTACAAAACATTCCAATACAGTGCTCAATGAACAGCATGTCAACAAAAAAAACAAACAAACTGCCAAGTTCTTAGAACTCCAGAAGACTTCTTTTAAGAGCTTCTTCCAACTCTGTGAAAATAAAAGACAGAATATAAGGATCTGTACAGCAACACCCTGAAAACAACGTTATGTCAGAACTGAGATTCTCTTTTCTACATTTGTTGACTTTCATTTTATTGCGTTTGATGTATCTTTTAAAGCACTCAAACATAAAGCACACTCACATTTTGAGTTTAAAAATGTATGTTCCTATGTAACGCCTACAAAAATGTACAGTGAACCAATGATGTATATTTAAGCCACATAAAATATGTATACATTTCATTGGATTGAACAACAACATGCCAAAGTAAATGTTACTTATTTCAAAGGGAGTTTGAGAGGTATTAAATAATGAAACAGTTGAAAATAAGACATAAAACTATTTGGGTTGTTTGTTATGGGTATGTAGCAGGTTTTAGTATTTAGTTTGCCTTTACAGATACTGTCATGCAAACTGGTTCTGGTGAAAGTTTCCTCCATATTTCAGTCAGCAGAGCTTTCAGGTCAACCACACTGGAGCATCGACAGGCTAGTTTGTTTATTGTCCATGGTATCCCACGGGTGCTCTGTGGGGTTTAGGTCAGTGCTCTGGGACGGCCGTTCTTAGATTTTCTTCTGGCTAGAATACTCTCAACAGGTGGCTGGAATGCATTTCTCAAATGACAATCTGAATTATTTACTATAGCAGAAAATATTTGTTTGAAGTGTTTTTCTATGGATCAAATATCTCTATTTCTAACAAGTTATGGAAATACATTATGAAGCTTATGTGCATTTGCTCATGGTTTAAGTTATTTTCTTCAGTATAACCTTGAGTAGCATGTCTGTGTGCTTGACAAGTGGAATCCACTCTTAAACATTTTCATTCCTAACTTGCAGGGCAATGCTACAGTCAATTGATACTGTATTGTATGTTTGTTTGAATTAAACTGTCTTTGTGAGCATTTATGTGAAAATTAAAACTGTATAGTTCTCACGGCAAACGAGGATGACGTGCTCGGCCACATGAACACATACCTGCTGACTCTCTTGCTTCGTCTGCGCTCAGTGACAGTGCGTGATTCATTTCATCATCCATTTCATCTGTAATGGAATGCACAATTCAGCAGCTGATTTATTCAAACCTATTTTGAAGAAGCTGCTTTAAGAAAACTAAAACAATTCCATGTAAAAACAATATTTTAAATAATCAATTAAAGACTGACAAAAAGACAATAAGCTATCAGACGTGTCTATACTAGCACGAGGCGTTCATTACTTTCAAGAGATAAATAGTGTTTATTGTTTTAATAGCTGAGCCAGTCTTCTTTGAAAAACTGATCAATATTAGGGTTTAATGTTGCGTATACAGTATTTAACAGCTTTATTAAACAGGTTAGTATATTTCTATTTAATATTTAGCATTGACTTGCTCATCTATTTTACTCTGTGGTCTGAGTTAAACAATGTTTATGTGTTTTTTTGCCTACTTTCATGTGCTTCACTCTCTTTGTCGGCTTGGTCCATACTCAAAAACTTCACCAGTGTTTCGTCTTCTATCTCTGCAAACGGACACAAAAAAATTAATTAAATGCTGCATGCAAACACAAACAATAGAACAATAAATGTCAACCATTTTAACTGATTTACCGTCGTTGTCCGCTTTAATCTCCACAGCACTTAGTATTTTAACAGTGGTTGGTTCTGCTTTCGGCTCTTTCCTGCAGCTCCTGGAACTCGTGCAGGGCTCCAGTGGACAGTGTTGAGAGTGATAATGTTTATGGAAACTCGGTACACTCATAAAACTCTCCTGGCAGTCTTTGCATTCTACGTCAAAGGTCTTGTCCAGGTTCAAGGCTGCGTGCTTTGTGTGGACGTGAGTTTTCATCTGTGCATAGGATGACAGAGATACACTACAAGGAGCACACACATACTGACATTTCCCTTCAGCAGCCAGATTCCTCATGCACTGTGTATAGGTAGCTTTGGTTTCAGCTTTGCCCTCTTCAGATCCCATGCATGGACATGGAGGCTGACCGGTCCTTTCAGCAGCAGTAGCCGGCTGAACAACTTCAGCATCGTCCATACAGTAGTAGTCCTTGCTGTGAAGACTCTTGTAGTGCTCCATGAACTCGTCCTCAGATTCAAACTGCATGCTGTCGCAGAGGCCACAAAAATGGGAACTCTGTATCTGCCCATTGTGCTCATTAATGCAGTGTCTCCGTACAGTGGACTCTTTAAAGAACTTCTGAGGGCAGTGTCCACAGATAAATCTCTGAAAGCTGTGAGCACTCAGATCACTACAGTGTTGGCGGACGGACGCTTCGGAGTCAAAGATGTCTTCGCACATCCTGCACATCCAAGTGCGCTGTACTTTTGAAGAAGTCTCTCCTGTGCTCTGCTGGACTTTGGTTGTCGAGGATGAGCGCAGGGTGACTTCGCTGCTAGTGGACGGCTTGGCATCAATGACTGTGGCGAGCTCTTCAGGCACTTCTCGTTCAGTGAAGTAGGTGTGTCCGCTGTGAGCTTCTGACACGTGCGACAGGATATCTTCATATCGAGGCATTTCCACTTTGCACTTGCGGCAGTAGAAGAGGAAGTTGGAGAGATGTGCCCCTCCGTGAAAGCGACTCATATGCAGGCGGGTGATTGAAGACTCTCCCATGTGTTTGCCGCACACGCCACACTGATGGAAGATCTGGTTCACAGCCAGAAGATGCTTACTGGCTGTAGCCTCCTCTGAGAACTGCACACCGCACTCGCAAAACCATGCTGTTGCTGAGTTTCTGCTACTGCAAGCGTTCATACTTGTACTTAATCTCTGCCGTTTCGCCGGGGATCTATCACAATCATTTCTCTTTTTGTTCCTTTTTTGAAAAGGCATCTCAAGGCCAGTTGACTGTCTTCTCTCCTGCTCCTCTTTAGTCCTCCGGGTGTGTTGAATTTCACTAAACCTGCAGTACTGAAGAAGCGCTCCTGCCATTGTTTGGTTGACCTCAACATCATGATGCATCGATTCTTTGTGGCTCTCGATTTCAGCTTGGCTGAAGAAGATTTTACAGCAGAGAGGACACTGCCCTCGCACTTGCAGCTGTTTCATTACTTGCACTATAGTTTTATCAGCCTTTGCCACAGCACAGCCTTGTCTGCAGTACACACTGAAAGAGAAAAATGAGGGAAAGAGAACCCGCAAAATTCAGTACCACAGAACATCGGAACAAAATAAGTGTCTGCTATACATACATGGAATGTTTCTTAATAAATCACAGAGAAACTTACTTAAAGTGAGCTTGAGCTGTTTGATGTGAGACCAGTGCTTTGTGACATAAAGAGCATCGGACACTGAACGTCACATCCTTGCATAAAGCGATGAGGCGATTCTTAACCTGTTGTGGAACAGGAACTGGCAGCGCTCGTCCTCTGGTTTCTTTAACAAGAAAATATGGAAAAAGCACATGTAATCTTGCTCATAAAATAGCCTCATGTCTTACTTAATTTGCCTTATTTAGATAATTATCTAGTATGCACTGGAAACTTGCGCATACAAATCCTTTGGGGAAAGGACGTATGCAGCCACAGGGTTTTTCCTGGCTCAGGACCTTTGGGTGGTGCAGACATTTAGGCACAGGCAATGAGTCTGTGATGACCTTATCTGACAGAAACCTGTGCATTTTTGTCATTTCTGACCATTTGATAAACCAAGGATTCCATTTTGCTTTAGTAAATGAAACCTCAATTAGCAGAATGGGTAAAAAACAAAACACAAAACTACCTGTGAACTTCATTACAGTCTCAACAGCTGAACACCTTCACAATGGATGGTAAAACTGAAATTAAATATCATGGGTAAAACTACGAGCAGAGTCCGGCACAGCCTGACTCTGTGCGCTAAACCTGACATTCCATTAGCGTTCAAGCCTTGTCAAAACAAAGCAGCTTAGCTGGCTTATCCAGTACCAGCCGGACGTTTAGAATATATAGAGAGTGGATGAAAGGGGAACTGACTGCTGAACGCAAAGACGTTTTATTTAAGTTTGTATTCTGCTTGTTCAACAGTTGTTTGATAAATTGCTGTTCAAAGGCATTTAGACAAGATCTGAATTGCTGTGTTTATTCTCAACTCCTATCATTTTGGTACCAATGATTTTCATTAGATTGGGCACGCCAAAGATTCCTATATTCAGGAAAAACCCAGGATTACATTTGCATAAAAATGTAAGTAAAAAGACACGTTCATTAGTTAGGACGTCCTTTTAAAGTACACAAATGAAACAAATGTATTCAATGCTAGTGCTTAATAGCTTCACATTCTCTTCCCTGTGTCCATCACTTGTAGCAATTTGGACATGTGAAGTTTTGATGAGTAGATAGGTGGGGGCAGAGTTCTGGTAATCCCTTACCGTTCATGGCGAGTGACTCTGCGAAATGATTTTTGGCCGACATGTGCTGAAGACACTCATCTCGAAGGTTGAAGAGGAGGTAGCAGGCAGGACAGGCAAAACACACGATCCGCTGATACGTCTGATCGATGCTGTGGCCGTCAGCGCTACATGAGGACACCTAGTAATCAAAACAACGTCAGAATTATTGCACCACAGTGGATCAATAGTCATTACATGCTTTTAAAAAAAATAATATTAGCATGAGATTGTTATAGCACAGTCAGAAAAGTGCATAAAACCTTAGAGTCTAGATGTCTCTTCCATGCTTCTTTAGTTTGAAATTGCTGGCCACAGGCAACACAGGCAAAGAGCTCCGACGGACTTCCTCTAAGATTGATTGCTGGGTCACAAGGGGAGTGGTCAAACCTGTGCACAAGAAGTTCTACTCAAACTGTGCACAAAATATTCCATTTTGTTGTCAGGAAAGTAGCTATGATATTATAGCTACACTGGCATGAGCAGAAAGGATTACCTTTTTAAATGGCCATCAAGGAGGGAAGCATTGTCATAAACTCGACCGCAGTTAATTACTGGACAAGTGTGTCTAGTTGAGCTGTTTCTGGAGAAAGAAGCAGGTCTGTGTCTTCTTCCAGCACCAGCACTGATCACTCCGGGCTGAAGACCTGTCCAACACACAGTAACACAGCAGAGGACTCACACATTCATTCAACTGACACAACTTCTCCAGCGTATTACCACTGTCACAGAATGTTGTCTCATTTACATGCCGAGCTTTATTAAAATAAAATTACATTTTAAATCAGCCCGGTGCGAGAAAGTGGGTCATTGCAGCAGCTCAAAAATAGTATGCAGATAAAAATATAAACCTGTATGATGGAGAAATGCTTTTAAAGTTGTTCTAGTGGCTCAACTCAAACACAGAGAGATTTGCAAATGAGAATGCCAGATATTATGTAACATATTTCCTCTGATCCAGATTAAAAAAAAATGTACCTGGCATCTTTAACCACATGTCTACGCAGCGCTTTGCTTCCTGATTAATGCCATTTGTAGAACTAAACGCCAGCTCCTGTTGTCCATGAGCTTTTTGCAAAACTTGCTTCTCCTGAAAAAAGACACAAAGAGATAATAACTTAACAGCATAAACCCCATATTTTATTCATACCTACTTATATGACGGACACATGTCAGCAAAAAACATCGGAAAGTGTTGAATATTAGTTCTCTAAGTGACAAACACCACAATGTTGTTTGAAGTGAATACAGTCGTCCTCAAATGTATTCATACCCTTTCATTAAAGAAAAGGCAAAATTCACAATAGTCACTCAAATAACTGAAAACAAGTAATAATAAATAAAAATATGATAAATTATAATTCAGTGAAATAAGTCATTGCTTTTGAATTGTGGTTGGAAAGAATATTTAAAAAAAAACAACAACAACAACAAAAAAAACACCCAAGACAAATCAGAGCACTTTGCTGATGAGCAGTGGGCCAAAATCAAAACACCTGTCAACAAGTGCAGAAGTCTGACTGAGAGTTACAGAAAACACTTGATTGCAGTGATTGGCTCAAAGGGTTGTTCAACAAAATATCAGTTTACAGGTCCCATCATGCTTGGCTTTTTTGTTTGTTTGTGTTTTTAAATACTTCTGTTGAACCACAATTTAAAAGCAATGTCGTGATTTTCTTTATTATTTTTTTTAAATTTATTATTACTTTTGTCAATTTCAGCTTATTTCAGTGACAGCTGTTTTTTCCTTCTTTAATGAGAGTTATGAATAAATTTGAGGACGACTCTTTCCAGTAGTGCTGGTTGCTACACTTACTTTGTTTTTTATCTATTCTGCCCACAAGGTGGCAGTGTTGCTGCTGCTGACCTTGACAGACCCACATAACAACATAACACACTAAGAAAACATCCTACTGGGAATCTGACATTACATTGAGTTTCTAAAATTTGCCCAAAAATATGAGCTTACTTTTAGCAGGATCACACCTCTCTACTTTAGCATGTGTGGAGGTGTAGCTATCACAGCATGCAGGAGTATTGTCTACTTTTCTTTTGTCACTGTAGATGTTGTGCAGAATAAATATGAATATCTGGATATAATAAAATAATTTTTATCTCCCCCCAATATGACTACATAACATTTCAAAGTGACAACTATTAAGTATGCATCACAACCTTTTTTCTCTTTATTTTTATGTTTAAACTGTTGCCTTTGTGATTTACTTGTAAATGCACGACAAAGCAACTAAATGAACACAATGACAGGATACTAAGTGAGGAGACACGCTTCAAAAATAACTGACTTACAGTTTAACAAAATTAGCAAATAAAAGCAGCTCACTTAATTTACGAGCAACTTACCTTAAATGCCCTACATTTATCAGCCCTCTGCTTCTTCTCTTGAGCCACCTGGTGTGCCAGTTTGTCCAGTGTTGATGTAACGCGTGCTTTATGTCGGCTGATTTTATCTTCAAGCTAAGAGAGAAAGGAAATGTTGAACATTTTCAGAAAGCTCTAGACAGGTATTCATGCTATATAGTAAATAAATGTTCTATTTAGGTACTCACCGTGGTTGTTAATGATGAACATCCCTCATCATCACTATCACTCAGAAGATCAATACATTCCAGTACGGGTCTGAGAGGGCCTTCCTGAAGTAAATACAAGATATGTCAGTGTTATAAAACACAACTAAAGTCTACATCTTAAGTAGTTGGAAAGTTCTACATTTTTGCTTTTCAGGCTCTGTTAGATGGCTATGTGAAGTACAGCCCTTTTAACCAGAAGTTTCGAGGTTCAAAAGCAATTAGACAGACACACTCAACAAATTCATCTTAGTTCTATTTTATGGACAAACCCACAGATATCAGCACAGAATCATATCTTCCCTGGTGATGTACTCACTGCGGCCGTCTTAATCTCTTTCTTGTTGAAGGGTCTCTCTGCGTTTAATATGGTTTCCAGCAATTGGGCTCAACGATTTGGGAAAAATATCTAATAGCAATTTTTCTGTCTGACACTACAATTTATTTTGTGACGTAATTTTTTAAAGGTCAAGCTTGAGTTCAATGTTCACTACGTCACAGATTTAAAACGTGATGGAGGATGACATGAGATACCATCAAAAACACGACTGTCAACAAAGAGGGACAACTTGAATTTGTAATACCACTGAAACAGAAGTTTAAACCCTGGGTGAGATGTGTAGCTTAATATACATCCAGATTTGCAACCTTTGCAATTTGCAAATTTGCACTGTTTGAAGATAAAGTTTTAATTGATTAATTGTTCAGTCATAGTGAAATCAGGCGATTGACCCAGTCGAGTATATTCTACTGAACTGTTGATTTTGGAAAAACAACTATCTTTGAAAGACATCTTCACCTTCATCTACAGTTTATGCATTAACTAACTTTTTAATGACATCACACTGCCCAAGAAAGATTTAGCAGCCGGGTATCCATTACTTTTGGGTTCTGTCAATTTGAGTAATATGTCTTAAAGGGCTATATAAGATAAGATAAGATAAGATATGCCTTTATTTATCTCACAGTGGAGAAATTCACATATTCACATATCTCCAACACTGTTTTTTTCTATATAAATGTACATGAATTATCTTTAAAGCTGACACTTTCAAATTAGAGAACCTGAAGAACATTAAAGTGTTAAACAGTTCAAACACTGGTCTGATAAATAAAGTCTGATATCATGTAAAAAGGATGGTTTCCTGATTGTGACTTCAACATTTGAAAACAGAGGTGATCTGTTGTCACTACAATCACACAGTGTATGGAGCAGCAGTGTATGTTGTGCACTGAGTTAATTATGATACATTAATGAAAGAACTGAATTGGAAATCCAGTCTGATTATCTGTGATTAAGTTATTGCAATTGGACAGAAATCAGGTAATTGCAAGTGCTTTATTTATCCTTTGCAACTACTGTTTTTAAGGAGACAACTTACTGATACAAACTCCACTTCTTCTTCCACCTCATCCTCGTCTGCTTCAATAGGAGAGGACATTTTTCTATGAATAAACGAGAAGCAAATGTCATTTTTTAAAGCTGTAGCATTAACTTTGAACATGCATGTAACATAAGAGGATTGAAACAATCTGTACTAGAAAATAAACACGATAGACAAGTGTGTTAGCAATAAAATCTCCTGCATTAGGCCTAGAACATACGTTAATCAGTCTCTGCTTTACTGTACAGTTATGCTTTAGCTAACCATCAACGTGTGATACTGACAGTTACATTAACAGTTGCACGGGATTTAACCACTTTGAAAACAGTATCGTGTAGCTGTCACATCCGGTTAACGATGCTAATATTAGTAAATTAAGTTGTGTAACGGTCGAATTCTAACATGTTGTAAGATCGATAGGCAGGTATCATACTTAGCAACTGTTCGGGAGGCTTCGTGTAGAGATCAGTAGCGTATAAAGTCAAAACAAGACTTGCATTAAAGTCAATATCACCCATGTAAAAAATCCAACATGGGGCACAATTTCTTCCTCGCTTGGCTACCAGAGCTTTCTTCAGTGCTGCCACTGAGGTGGGAGCTGAATCACTATAGTCTTAAACCAGTGTTGTTGCAGTACACAACTTCACCGCCAGGGGCAGGCTCGAGCTTCGAGCTGGTAAACAGCATAGCCACAGCCAACGAAGAAGAAGTTACGCGCCACAGTGCAACCAGAGACGTTCATGGACCGTATTTAATTTAACGTATGACGGCATGTAGCTACAAGTTCATCCATGCAGGTTGTATTTTTGCTACTTTATGCCATTTGACAGCGACGTCAACTATCCTCGTTTGTCACCGAGACGTCCACTTGTCTTCTGATGGGTTTGTACAATTAACCACCATCTGGTAAACAACTTTATTTGCAGCCAAATCTTCAAGCCTCACTCCAGAAATCACAGTCCCAAACATTCGGGTCTGTGACAAAGCTAACGTTAGCTTAGCCCCCTGTCGTTAATGTGTGCAGCGGCTTTACCCTGCTCAGCTGAAGTCAGGTAAACACGCTAAAGTTCGACTTGTTTGAGATTCGACAGATGTGTTTTAAATCAACAGATGTGCACCACGTTACCTGCTGCTTATTCTGTTGACTCCTCCGTTGACAGAGCGGTAGCTAGCTGCTACTGCAAATCAAAGTGAACGCAGCTAATTCGGTATGCGACGTCACATGTAGCTGGTGCGCTCCATTTGTACGCAGGGTGTTGCCGCACGAACGGGGTTATTGGCTACTGCGGCAGAACAAATGCGAGAACAAACCCCGCTCGTGTAGTGACACTTTATCCGGGCCGAAGTGCAGTAGTGTTGCTAACTACAGCGCTATTAATATTCTAGTTACCCCAGTTTCAAGGAAGTGTTGTACATGGTAGCTTTTTATCACCATTTTCTTGAAGAATTGGTCGTACAAGTTCATAAATATAAGAACGTTGAACACAAACCGTGATATATAAATAACAGCAGCACGTATGGAAGCAGTGAGTCCTCAGTACCCTGCTCTCTCATTGTTGAAGTAGAGCATGCATGCATTAGGACAAATGCAAAAACTATATTAACTGTATATCCATATGTCTCACATATCAAAATATACCTAACGTGTATGACTCTGATATTGCATTGATATTTCCTGTATGTACAAAGAGTATAGGAATATTTACTATAGCTGTGCAATATTGAGTAATACAGGGAGTGCAGAATTATTAGGCAAATGAGTATTTTGACCACATCTTGCTCTTTATGCATGTTGTCTTACTCCAAGCTGTATAGGCTCCAAAGCCTACTCTCAATTACGCATATCAGGTGATGTGCATCTCTGTAATGAGAAGGGGTGTGGTCTAATGACATCAACACCCTACATCAGGTGTGCATAATTATTAGGCAACTTCCTTTCCTTTGGCAAAATGGGTCAGAAGAGGGACTTGACAGGCTCCGAAAAGTCAAAAATAGTGAGATATCTTGCAAAGGAATGCAGCACTCTTAAAATTGCCAAGCTTCTGAAGCGTGATCATCGAACAATCAAGCGTTTCATTCAAAATAGTCAACAGGGTCGCAAGAAGCGTGTGGAAAAACCAAGGCGCAAAGTAACTGCCCATGAACTGAGAAAAGTCAAGCATGCAGCTGCCGAGATGCCACTTGCCACCAGTTTTGCCATATTTCAGAGCTGCAACATCACTGGAGTGCCAAAAAGCACAAGATGTGCAATACTCAGAGACATGGCCAAGGTAAGAAAGGCTGAAAAACGACCACCATTGAACAAGACACACAAGCTGAAACGTCTAGACTGGGCCAAGAAATATCTCAAGACTGATTTTTCTAAGGTTTTATGGACTGATGAAATGAGAGTGAATCTTGATGGGCCAGATGAATAGGCCTGTGGCTGGATCGGTAAAGGGCAGAGAGCTCCAGTCCGACTCAGACGCCAGCAAGATGGAGGTGGGGTACTGGTATGGGCTGGTATCATCAAAGATGAGCTTGTGGGGCCTTTTCGGGTTCAGGATGGAGTCGAGCTCAACTCCCAGTCCTACTGCCAGTTTCTGGAAGACACCTTCTTCAAGCAGTGGTACAGGAAGAAGTCGGCATCCTTCAAGAAAAACATGATTTTTATGCAGGACAATGCTCCATCACACGCATCCAAGTACTCCACAGCGTGGCTGGCAAGAAAGGGTCTAGAAGAAGAAAAACTAATGACATGGCCTGCTTGTTCACCTGATCTGAACCCCATAGAGAACCTGTGGTCCCTCATCAAATGTCAGATTTACAAGGAGGGAAAACAGTACACCTCTCTGAACCGTGTCTGGGAGGCTGTGGTTGCTGCTGCACGCGATGTTGATTGTGAACAGATCAAAACACTGACAGAATCCATGGATGACAGGCTTTTCAGTGTCCTTGCAAAGAAAGGTGGCTATATTGGTCACTGATTTGTTTTTGTTTTGTTTTTGAATGTAAGAAATGTATATTTGTGATTGTTGAGCTGTTATATTGGTTTCCCTGGTGAAAATAAATAATTGAAATGGGTATATATTTGTTTTTTGTTAAGTTGCCTAATAATTATGCACAGTAATAGTCACCTGCACACACAGATATCCTCCGAAAATAGCTAAAACTAAAAAAGCCCTGCTCCAACTTCCAAAAATATTCAGCTTTGATATTAATGAGTGTTTTGGGTTAATTAAGAGCATGGTTGTTGTTGTTCAATAATAAAATTAATCCTCAAAAATAAAACTTGCCTAATATTTCTGCACTCCCTGTAGTTATACATAAATGGATGGTTGTGATTTGGATATAACCCTAATGTCATAAATATATACCTTCAAGCACCCATGCTTATGTATTTTGCTGTATTCAACTTAAACACATTTAATTGACCAAAAACAGAAATGACGAGGATTCATACCAGGACCATCAAAAGAAGCAAGGCCAGGCAAACCTCTGAAAATGTGAGTATACAGAAGACATTTATGTAAGTGTATATATTAACATGTGTTAAAATAAATATGGATACACATCACTTATATTAAATGTGATAATTTATGTATCAGATAGGAACACAATTGACCTCACATGTTAATTAATTGGGCATATACGAGCCGTGGCCACTCGATTCGGCACACCATCTAATGTGATACAGTGTAACAGCACTGCGGCATATTATTCCTCCATAAAGCTGGTCATTTTTGTGTATGTTAATAGGAGCTGGCAAAACCTTAGAACCATATCTCAATATGATGCAGACTAGTTCAACGCCACTGCAAGCTACAGTCTCAAACACTAATGAGTACCTCATGGATAATCAAGACGGCATCATTTTATTTGTAAAGGTTGAATGTATGTCTAATTGTTGCATTAGATTTTATTGATGCATATGTCTTACAGATTGTACAGTGTATGTTAACATAAATGGCACACAGCAAATGAAACGCTGTTATACATTGAACACTGTGTTTGCTATATGTACTATGTCATTGAACATGGAATGTGTTGTAGTGAATGACTGCATTTATAGACTTAACTTGACGTACACAGACATTGTGGTAGTTTCATATCTGTAAACACATGTGAACATGCTCTTTAAAACTGCAAATAAAACCGTTTTTCCTTCTGTCACACTGTGCTTTCCTGAATCTTTCATCTAATGCAAGAAAAGGGATATCACTCCATCCAAAAATTACATAACCCATGTTGGATTATGACCAGAGTTGGTTTCTATGTGTTTTTTTTCCCCCTCCTCTCCCTAATCCTGTAAGTGTCAGTACATAGCACCTGCCTCATTTCAGGATGCATTTTAGAGATACTGTCTGTTTAGGAGAATATACTCAGTAATGTATATCAGCCAGGTGGGTTTTTATTGGTATACTGTGTTGGTAACTCTGTAGGTATATTATATGTTAAAATAAAAAAAGTAGTTTCCCTATAAATGACCCCCAGCACACTGTTTCTACATGAGTGAGCGTGTGCTTGGCTCACAGCTTCATCCTGTTGGGCAGTCCACTCTGCAGCAGATTACTGCGATGCTGGGGATGAATCTGCTGACTCTCCCTGCTCCTGTTGGAAAATAAATAAATAAAACTTACGTCTGTGCTGAGTCATGCATTGTACCTCACAATAATGATATCAATACTAGCCGGGGCTGTCCTCCGTGCATCTACACGCCGTCCACGGTTTGCAGTGCGATGCTTCACGTATGTCAGCGAGTGTCTTTATTCTCGTCTCGAGCTTTCTGCGATATAAACGCCAGGAGAGGAGCCAGCTGTCTGAGGCTGCCGGATCTGTCCTATATCTCGCCTTATGATGATCGCTGCGGCGTTTTTGGTCCTGTTAAGGCCGTACAGTATTCAATGTGTGCTGCTGTTATTGCTGCTTTTGCTCGGAACTATTGCGACAATTTTGTTTTTCTGCTGCTGGCATCGCAGGCTCCGTAATGGAAAGCATCCAATAAAATCTGTGCTCTCTGGACGCTCCAAGAGCCGCGGTGAGTAACGCAGGCCAGCCGCATCTCCTCATCCTGACACCTCACGTCTGAACATTATGTATATTTCTTCTCCATGTGGTCATAGTCTGTCTCTGTTTTGTGTGGTATTTGGCAGCTGTGTCACTATTAGACATCTGCAGTTTGGACTATAGGATGACAAACATGACTTTCATGGGGGGGCTAATGTGCGTAAAGATGATTATGGCGTTCAGTTAAACTAGCCTGATGTATCTTAAAGTTGGTAATATTTTAAACGATTACGCTGACTAATTCTGACATGCCGTATTTGTAGATAAATGTGAAATAAGAGTATGTCATTGTAACATCTGCTATCTGTCCTGTAGTTGGCCTCCGAACGCATCATTTTCGATCAGAGGTAGGATGAACTTTTTACATGATGGTTTTGTCCTGAAAAGGCCTTTCTGATTGCGAAGAGTTCGATGCGTTTGAAGTGTGATGCGCTGTGTATATGATCGTTCAAATATGATTTAGCAAATGCTTCATCCCAAAGTCCGTTTCTTTGTACTTTTATGGAGGACTGCATGACTATTTTAAGGACTGTGCTGTGCGCATTGCGCATGTGTTATCAATAAATAATGTAGGTGAGTTTGCAGTTTCGTTCTTTAAGGTGGATTGAAACTGTTATTTGAAGCACATGGCTGAAAACTAAGATGTGAGTAATCAGATTGAAACCTAATGAATATTATGATCCATAACATATGTTCGCCATCATGTTTGCTGCTGTCTGAATGCGTCATATTTAGCTGCCGTTGCCTCTGTTGGGCTTAAAATATGATATTATGGCAAAAGCTGTCTCAGCAAACCAAATGTTGCAGTAGGCATATGATCTATGGAAAGAATTCATAATCTTATTAAAACTTCCTTCAAAGTCATGATAGCAAAGAAGCTTTAAGTAAACCCAGCATTTATTGAAAGTGCAATAGGTGTGTCGGTTTTATTGCATTTAATACATTCATGCCGAAGAATGAACTTTTTGTTTAATTCTCCATGGTTTTGAAGTTACAAAAACAAAAGCTGGCCTTCCTTTGTAGGTCATGTTATTGAACCACAGGATACTGAATCCCTACTGGCTCAGTTCTGTAGCTGGTGGGGATTCAGTATCACATTCAAGGACACTACAGTGGGACAGTTGTGGAACAAAAATGTTGTAAAACATGTGTTCTTGATCATTACCATCCATTACATGTCTCACAATAAAAAGATTTTGGATAAAAGTCAGAGTGTATGAAGAAAAGGAAAGTGGATACAAAAAAAAATGTCAAAATGATCCACTATAAATTGTGATTTCCATCCTGGAGTGATTGGAGTTTCTGTATCACCAAGTTCTAGTATGTGTGACTTTAAAATCTAGGCCATCTAAGATCAAAGCAATGTCCCTCTAATTTAAGAAACTTGAACTGAGCAGAATAGAATTATTCATAATGTGACAAAGCTTTTAATTTCTCCTGTTAAGTCTGCTGAATGCATAATCTGTCCCTGGCTTGACGTTTGTCCATGTTTCCCAGGGCTTCCGGCACAGTCCACGTCACTCAAGAAGGAGCATACATGCTCGAGTGACAGAGGAAAAGCCCAACCTGGTCGAGGTTCCTGACAGCGAACCTGATTCATCGTCGACTCTGAGAAAACGCAAAGTGAAGAAGAGAGTCCTGCCAGAGTTTTACCAGTCTGTACAAGTCACCCCTACACGTAAACCTGTAGGTACCCCCCCCTCACCTGCAGCCATCAGTAATACCAGTGTTAAAGTGATGCTATTTCTTTGCTTGCTTCTCTCTACAGGGACGTCACCTTTGAAGCTGGTAAGGATGGGTAACTTTCTTTAGGGCACAGGGTAGATGTTTACAGGGTTTGAGTCTTGGGTGTGTTGCTGAAGGATGGTCTCTTTATTGGTCCCATAAAATGAAAATCTACTGTGTTGGTACCTTTTTATCCCAAGGCGAATTGTTTGATCATTGACAGATAAAATTTTGCACCCTTATATGTGATCTTTTATACATATCAAACATGTAAGGGCACAAAAGAAAGTATGAGTCATTTAAAATGAGTCATTTTAAGAGAACTTAACAAAAGATCTCACAGACTTAACATCGACTTTGGCTTTAAATAATTTGACCATAACATGTCAAGTATTTCTAAGCATAAAACTACAATATATTTATCCAAATGTGTAGTTTGTTTAATAAGTGTTATTTGTTGATCACCATTAATGCACTTAATATAAAGGGATTTGTTCAAATGCATCACCGTGCCCTAGTTTTTCACAAACGTACGATTTTCTAAAGGTGTTGCAGCCTTAGTGATGAAAAAAAGCTGCAATAAATGTAATATACAAACAAATCAAAGAGCATTTACCTGTGAGGTTACTGCTGTCTGGCTTAAATTTCAAGCTGCATATATTAACAGGTTTTATAATATCTGTTCACTTTGCCCTAGTTTTTTGTCATCCAAGTGTGCATGCTGCTACCTGTCCTCTCTACCTGTAAGTCTGAGACTGTTCCCAGTTCACCAAGTTGGCATGGGAACATAAAACCCCTTTGTTAACTTACTAAACTTTAAGCCCTTCAGCTTCCTTTTCTCAGTCTTTATGCTAGCTGCACAGCTTCCAAACAAGAGTGTGCTTTCCATCCTTCAATACTTGACATCAGTTTCAGACTGTGCAGTTAAGCAGAGTGAAGAGATTGATTATTTTTGTTCTTCCTGGAACGGACCTTACATCTACAGGAAGATAAAGCTGAAGAAGCACAGCTGGAATTATGTCACATATGGGAACATAAGGTGGAGCCACGTTGAAATGCTTTGGTTTGTTGGGTTTTCTTTATGTACTGCTGCTCTAACCTGAATTACTTTTTTTCTAGCGCCACATGATGGAATTCTGATCACGCATTCACTAGACTACCTCGTCTGTGTTTGTTTTTTGGATGTTCCTGATTTTGAATTTCAGTTATTGTAGATATAATATTATTTATAGGACACAGTCCTCCCGCAAAGGTCTCCATTTAGGAAAAGACTACACTTTTGTCTTTTCTGAAGTTTGAACTGTTCAAAGGAACATATTGATCTGTGTACGCCTCTAAAGTTGCTTGTTAGTTGTGTCGCAATATTGTAGATAACAAGGACAAACAGTTTTGTGCTTTTTGTTATTGCAGTGGTCAGCAAGCAAAATGCATAACAACTTGACCTGAGACAAGCAAGACTGATATCAATGTGTTATTGTCGCTTTTATTACTTTAAAATCAAATGTTTCATTGCCACAAGTAAAACAAAATCCTCTTCATGTTTTAGCTTTTTGATGTATTTGTCATGTAGGTGAATTCTTAACCGAGCAGTAAGCTAATGATGAAAAACAGTGTGCCGGCATTGTTATTCTGGTAACACACGAGTCAGAGGAGTTTCACACATTACATGAACTACAATGAGAATTTTAATTTGGAGATTTGTGTCGCTCCAAGACAAGTGAGTAGATTTTAATATGTAAGTAGCGTAAACTAGGGCAGGTCGAGATCAGCCCAACATGCATCATTTATGATGTATTTACATGTGTAGCTCACAGCAAACTGTACAAAATGAATATTTGAGAATGCTTGTCTTGATATTACCATATTTTTGCATGTTTTTAACAGGTAATCTCTTGAAAAGACCCAGATCAGTGTGAGGAAACTACTGAGTACGTTTTCTGTTCACCGCAGGCCAATTAATTTTAGCCCAAAACGATGTGGCTTTGCACTCGTAAAGATCTGAGCTCGGTTAGCCTGGTTATGAACTTCATATTTTATAAATATATCTGGGTGTATGTGCTTATCTTTTACCTTTATTTAACAGGACCTACACATTTGGCAAAAGTACAGTCAGGGGATGATCAAAAGCATTTTTCTCTGAGTGTACTTTCACATTTTTTGCACAAAGACTGACAAAAAAGGGAAGGTAACCTTGATGGCGAACAGTCATGCTTTCCCTTCTATTCCATTCCATATCCATTTTTTAACAGTAACAGCTTTTAAGTGAAGAATATTAGGTATTAACAGAGAATACAGACTTTTGTACACTCCCTACTGTGGGGGATAAGCCTTTTATTAAGTGACGTGGGCGGGCCTCTAATCTTTTAACAATTCTTATCCCT